CGGGCCTCCACGCAGATGGTTATGTCGCACAGAAAACGTTCTTTACGGAACTGATCCAGCAACTCGAAACTGTCAGCAAAGTGCGAACTGTGGTCTGACCTGTGCAGCTCCATCGTCAACCTTGGCCAGGCGGCCACTGCTCAGCCTAGAAAAGCGAACATTAAACAATAAAACCTGAACGACGGCGACTTTCGAAACTTCTTGACATACATATATGCATGCATGCATACGTGTATACATACATACATACATACACACACACACACACGCACACACACACACACACACATGTACATGCATACACGCATACATGATACATACATACATACATACATACATACATACATACATACATACATACATACATGCATACATACATACACACTCACATACATACACACACACATACACAGATACATAAATAAATACTGTTCATTATCTAAACTTCACTTACAAACACATACCACTGTACATGCAAGCTGAAGAATGTTATGTTATGCATGTCAGACAGACAGACAAATACCAAGAGTGACAGAGAAAAACAGTTAGATTGTTACATAATTAGACATGCAGATAAAGAAACAGACAGACAAAAGCAGAAGCACGAGCAAACAAAGAGAAAGACTGATATAAAAGACAGAGATACATGGACGATACATATAAACACTAAAAATCGACAAAATTTAGGGGCTCCGGCATTAGAATTGACTAGAAAAAATCAGGAATATATACAGACAGTAGGACAAGTCGACAACAAACAAGAGACATACTGATGTCAAACAAAAATCACGGCACATGGACAGTATTTATGGAGAGAAATATATATACATGAACAGAGAGATGAAAAACAACGGTGAGACATAAACACGATAGACAAAGGACAGACAGACAACAGAGCAGAGAGATAGGTAGCAAGAAGTAAAAAAATTTTTAGACAGAAAAATGCATGAAAAATACATAAATACATAAAATACATGAAAGAGGTAGTTAGGCAGGCAAAGAGATAGATACATGAGCATACAGACAAATAGAAAAATAGACTGATGTACTGAGGCGACAACATATAGACAACAAGAAACAGGAACATATACAGATGCACAGACAAACATACAGACAGATCGCAGGAGACAAATGCTAGATGAATTAATGAAGTAGTGCCTGAGGAAACTGAAAGCACAATTCCACTACCACATACAATACGCCATTGCCTTATTTCGCAACTGGCAGTCAACATTTAATGTAGCATCGTTACAGAGTAAAATATGCAGGGACATATTTCCATTTTATGAGCATACCTTTCAATTCATCACTCAATCAAATCAGCTTCTATCGTATCAAAATTCGGGGTGATCAGTTTCCTTCATGCAAAACAGTACAACAAACGACAATCAGGTTCAAGGAGGCATACGCCAACATCTGTTAAAAAATGCGTAATTATAGTAAGTTTTGCTTAATCGTCAAGTTGAAATATTTATGCTATGCAGTTTTTATTAAAAATTCAGTCAATGATATTTATGGGACTTCCGCTCAAAATTTTTGTCCTCTTTCACCTACAAACTGGTGGTTTTGCTGCGCGATGTGTCGTCAAAGAATTGAACAACAGCGTCCATGACCGATGTGCGCTTAATGTCATATACTGGACGTAAATATGCTTCCCGGAGTAGATTGGTGGAGTCAGGTTCGTGCAACAGAGTGGATTACCCTAGTTGTAGTAGGTATTCACCATGGTTGTTGTAGTTTCGTTACATGTATGGGTTACCGTTTCATTCAGAAGGTTGGAAATCAATGTTATCGCTCGTCTTCACAATATGTCATGATGAAAATTGGCGGTAGTCCGCTAGTAGCCGTCGGCAATGTGCTCTAGATGGCGTAAAGTGCAAACAGTGGATGAATGGAAGCCATCTCACATGATGTAGTAGATTAACTTTGTTGTAATGATTCTGCATCATAACATCTTGTTGATTTCCTAATTTTCTCAGCCGATTAGATGATGTTCTTGCTGGGTCAGTTATGATTATTTATATTACGATCATTCTTTGCTTCAATCTTGATATACTCTTGACATAGTACAAAAATCGTTGGAGACGTCGTTGTTTGCCCTATATTTATTACTCCTAATTCCAGTCGGCGCTCAGAGTACCGGTCAGACACAAACTGATGTTCACAAATGCACGATTTTTGTGTTGCTGTTTTTGACAGACTACAAAACGCTTTGACCTTAAAGTTAAACTTTTGCTTAAATATTGATCGCAAAGTTTAATATTTTGTGCTTGCGAAATAATACTTTAAACCTGTTGCGTCGAGCAGTTCATTTCGCTGCCGAATATTAATTTAATGACAACCTGTTAGTTTATACATGATTGTTCGTGCTGCAATGCTCGCATATCTGCAGCTGCGAGGCTGAATACCGTCAAGTGCAGCGCATAACTGACACTGACTCCTGGGCTGTTTTAAAATGTAGCACTACAAATAACGAAGAAACAGAGAAACATGCCTGCTGTTGCATTTACGCCATTTTTAATGCTCATGACTATTGGCTCTCGGTTTTCGCTTACCAATTCATGGTTGAGGGCAAATTTTAAGCTGCACAAAGCAATCGTTATTTTATCAATGAGCTGCCACTTTCACAGCAGAGTGATCCGCTCGTAATGATAACTGGTGTCTTCAGTGTTCCCGAATCTTACGTCAGCGCTTGAACGACAACGGAACGTAGCTAAATTTTGGAAATAGTCTGTCTAAATACTTGCACCAGATCATTCCTGACTTCCCCGAATATTTTCTCCGCCTTATTTTTTGTGGGCTCTCTTTTCATAGGCACAAATTTTCGGATTTCAAAACTCTGTGCATGACCTGCACCATT